TCACCCTGGAAAAGCTTCCAGCTCAATCAGCGAAGCATGCTCTTAAATCACTTTTTGTACAAAACATACAGTGGCATAAAAAAATAAAGACTCACCTCATATGCAAAGACCTGCTGTTTTAATATATGGGTTTGCATGTTTCAGGAAAACCAGCGGGCCTCCCTTAAACAGAATCACAGAATGGTTGAGGTTGGAAGGACCTCTAGAGATCATCTAGTCCAACCCCCTGCTCCAGCAGGGACACCCAGAGCACGTGGCACAGGGTGGCATCCAGGCGGGTTTTGAAGATCTCCAGAGAAGGAGACTCCACAGCCTCTCTGGGCAGCCTGTTCCAGGGCTCTGGCACCCTCACAGGAAAGAAGTCCTTCCTCACATGGAGGTGGAACTGCCTGTGTTTCAACTTCACAGCTGTTACCTCTCGTCCTGTTGCCAGCCAGCACATGGAGGAGAGCCTGGCCCTTACTGCACACAGGGCTGATTGATAGGCTTTCTTCAGCGTGCCTCGTGGGGCCCGGGGCCTCAGCTGGACACAGCTTGGGGCATCAAACAGCTTACAAACAAATGGAGTACCCCTGTGCTGGAAGCCAGGGAGACCCCAGGAGGCAGGGGGATGCAGGGGGATGCAGGGCTGGAGCCATCTCTTTCTGCACATACTCCTTGATCCAATTGCTACTCAGTAAATGTACTTGGTTTTAAGCTTAGGAAAATACTTTGGAGTTGAATCCCCCTGTCGTAGTAGTTAACACAGACACAGAACATGCTGAACAGGCCCCTACTCTGCTAAGAGGCAATAATTGCTATCCTGCAAGTACAAACTTGCAGGATTTCGCTCACTGCTAAACCCAGTGCGCTCAACCACAGCAGCACTTCCTAGCAGGTGGGCTGCCTTGAGAAACTGAAGTCTCAAGCCACAGACCTTTAAAAGGTTAATCATTTAAACATTAAAGCCTGTATTTACAGAGCAGGATCCACTTACGTGATTACTGAAGTTAAAGCTCAACATGGAAAAGTTTTAGCTTGTGTCAATGTAGTTGGATTTTGCATGTACAAACATCTTTGCACCCTCCCCATACAAGTAAGCTAGAGACAGAGCGCTGACCCGGCTGCCGGACGGGAGGCTCCCGCTGGGGCGACTGCACCCGCCTGCAGCGCTCTGCAACACGCCGCTGCCACGAGCAGGTTCTCGCCCAGCTTTCCAACACCCCTGGTTACTGCACAAGAGGCGCTGCCTACTGCTACACCCAGCATGCTGCAGAATGCATTTCAGTGCCCTGGGGAAGCAAAAGCACACGCTTCTCCCACGAGCCTTTCTGTAGGGATCTTAACTCACGGTAAAGGGGCACTGTCGCTTGGGCGGCACATGATGCGCATCACCCCTTCAAACACAACAGCTCCGGGCCCGTGTCCTGCGCTGCGCAGCTGCGAGGCCGGGCGAAGCTCCCCTCGGGCACTGCAGGACGCCCCGTTCAGCCTCCAGGCTCTGCCGCTCTCCCCGGGGCAGGAAACAGCTGCAACTCACACAACCCGCCGAGGAGCAGACCCCATTAACACACACGCTCACGGCAGGATTTCCACGGATGGGACTCCTACTTCCAGAGCTAGATTTACTGTAGCTCAAGCAACTCATCAGGGCCGCGCAGTGTTTTATCACTCAAGTGCGTTCATTAGATGTGCCCAGGAGTCACCTGCAAAGTGAGTCTGTCTGCACGAGTCACACTTTGCTTATAACTCTGCGCTAGCAGCAAAAACAGAGGAACCTTTCTTCTCCTCGAAAAAATAAATGGTGTGGAGCAGGCAGGGTCCTTACAATTTCACTGGGTACTACTCAAAATATTTCAGAGTTACATCCTCGTCACTTTAGTAGGGCATTCAAACAGGAGCTGTCATTTCTCTTCATTATTTAAAGAAGTCTTGTCTGTCTTTTCACCACAGACTAGTAAGCTGACATTGAAGCTCTGATAATTTACACAACAGCAGTATTTAAACATGTAGCCAAACACAAGCACTCGGCTGGTGTCTCGGAGATTTAGTTATGAGCGGCAGCTGGCTGCAACAGTGGATTTCACTCAGAGGGCTCATGCAGAAGGAAACATTAAATCAAAGCCAGATCCATCTGTCCTGGGACAGTTCCTGGGAAGTAAAGAATTTTTAAAATCTGCTCTGTATTGCACACTTTTTGTTTGTCACTTAGTCTGAACAAGGCCGCCCCTGGCAGGAGCTGAGGGGCTCTTCCCCTCTGCACTTGCTGCGCACAACAAAACTGCCACCAGCTCCCTTTCCCCCTGTAAGAAACACGGGGCTGGCGCATACAAGATTTCTTCACCTCCAGACAAAGCACTAGTGAAACATGTTGGACCACGTTTTTTCATTGGAAAGACGGTAAATGCCACGGGTGAGGGCTACCACGGAGGGGTAAATCGGCCCAGACCTCTCGTGCTGGGCTCCCTCCCGTCCTGCTGCTGAACACCGCAGCCCTGAGCCGCGCCGCGGCGGCCT